TTTTACATTTACATTATCTGCTTCTAATAAAGACGATTTATTATTATTATTATATTATATTATTATATATTAAAAATTACCCCCCTTTTATCGACAATTATCTCCCTTTCATCGACAATTCGCTGGGTTAATGCAGAAGTATGCTAAGTTCATTTTTAGCGAAAATGAGGTTTTCACGCCTATGTCCAGTTCAAATGTTATAAAATTTGCTGCAGAAATATCGTATCTCTATATTTAACCTTGAGTTTAAAATTAGTTGCAATCAAACTAGCTTATGTCCAACCAACTGAAATATTTCAATGCATAAGTATTTTATGTATACATTAATTTATCATTTTAACGCTGGACATAGACTAGTACTGCTCTGTTAAAGTGATCGTCGTAGAATGGTTTATTGTCCTGTTAGCTAAAAAAATGTATAAAACCAGAACCTGTAAAATTTTTAAAAGGGCTGCTAATCAAGCAGAAGCTTGACTGGTACCAAAAAAAGACCAGTGTGATGTTTGTAACAGATATGAACATTCTTCAGCTGATCAAAAAACCGAACTACAAGATGAGTATAACTTCCATATAAGGACTGAAGATTTAGCCCGAGAATATAAAAATAAAGACAAAGAAAAGGGAAAAAATGACAAGTAGTTCTGTGTAGCTGTATTTGACCTTGAACAAATCTTGCCTGTACCAAAATCAGAAGTGGGTCTTGCCTATTACAAATTGAAGTTATCCACATACAACTTTACTATTTTTAATTTGGCTTCAAAAGAATGCAGTTGTTATATGTGGCATGAGGGAATCGCTAGAAGAGGTGCATTAGAAATAGGAAGCTTATATTATTTATAGATGAGCAAGTTAAAAAAGGCATAAAGGAATTTTCCTTTTATTCCGATAATTGCTCTGAACAAAACCGGAATACATACCTCTATGGTTTGTATAATTATTTAACAAACATACCATTAAAATTCGTCATAGTTATTTAGAAGAAGGCCATACCCAGAACGAAGGCGATTCCGTAGATAGCTTGATAGAACGCGCCTCCAAAAATATTCCAATATATTTACCGGACCAATGGTATACCTTGGTTCGTACTGCCAAAAGAAATAATCCTCAGTATAAGGCTCGAGAAATGGCAAAAGAGTTTATATTCGATTTAAAAGACTTGCAACTACAGACTTCTATAAACTGGGATAAGGACACTAACAACGAAAAAGTAAAATGGCAGAAAATTAAAATTATAGAGACGAACCCACAGTATCCGGACACAATATTGTTCAGGTATGAGTATGAAGCTACAGAATACATTAGAATAATTTGCTACAGAAAGGAAGAAAGACAATGCAGAAGAAAAACGATTACTTAATGAAACCCTTGTATCACACTTTAGTTCCGATCAAGAAAAAAAGTATGAACACCTTTTTCTTTGCAACAAACTGGTTATATCTTCTCAATACCACGACTTTTTTCAAGGACTACCTTACAGTGAAAATGTAAGGGATGAGGTAGATTCAAATAATGAATAATAATTATTTTTCACCATTCCAGTTTTACCATAAGGATTTTGATTTTTTTTAAGTTTTTAAAAATTTTTTTTGGTTGGTTCATCTTACATTGTTTTCAGTGAACATTTTATGTTCCAGCAAAAATAGTTCTGTTCCTAACAAATAATGTTACATAAATTTTGCGGACCCCTTATTTCACCCACAATAGTAATTGTAACATAGGCTTGATTACGCATAGTTTTAGTTTTGTTCTCGATTTCTAGGTATGGACATAGACTATACTTGTTACAAAATCAAAGTATCCTAAGTCACTTAAAATGGACATATGATACCATTTTCAATACAAAAGTATGCTATGTCCCATATTTTTTGATTTTTATAAAAATTAAGTATACTAATATTAAGAGAATATTCTACACTACAAATACAATAGAGTAACGGTTTTTAAAAATTTTAATATTAAACTTTCGCAAGTTATTCAGTTTTTTTCTTCTCCTGTAAAAAGTACTAAATGTGACATAGCATACTTCTGCATTAACCCAGCGAATTAT